TCTGCGTGACTGCGCCATGTGAGGCACCTTAGCCATGTTTGCGTGGCACGTTTGTTGTGTTATGCGATGCATTCTCCATCTAGAAATTGTGAAGAGTTTGACGCGAAGTGATTTTTCAGTGTCAGCTTTTTGTGATTCGAATTGTGATAATTTCATGTGGTGTATGTTGCCGCAGGTATTGCTTTTCCACTGCTGTACTGCATTTGTTAGATTTTTACACGTTATTCTGGTTATGGGAATGCATGAGTAATAAAAGTTTGATAGAAGTTTTGGGCTGCATCCAAGGGATCCTATTACTCAGGTGCAAGTTAAAAACAAGTGGCCGATGGCGCACAAGATGCGGAGAGATAAAGCAGTAGGGTTTGGCACATCCCAACAAAGAGTAGGCAGAGCTCAGCAAATGTCACGCTCATAAACAACAATCTGAGCATTGTGAGCAGAACCACGTTTGGACTTACCTAGCACCAAAATCGATGGTGAGTGAGGCGAAAGACACTACAAAATGCCATTTAATCGTTAGCCTGAGACAAATTTGTATTGATGTGCACTTCTAACTCAGAACAAAATATGGGAGCCTTCATTGCCTTTTGAAACCTGCATTCCACGCTTTGAGTTGAAGTGCGCAGGCGAATTTGGAAATTCTATAGACTACGTGGAGTGATAAAATGGCAACTATATAAAACACACTAGGCTATGCACAACACGTTGCAAGCCTCGTTATATAAAACCTGACTCCACGTTTTGCAACATTTTGTATGATGCATTGAACGTACGATGCATTGAACGTACGATCGTATGATGCTCTGTCCGTCCGTCTGTCTTTTGGTCTGTGTGCGCGCATTTTGTAGCCAGACGGACAGCAGTGACAGCCGCGGGGGGGGGGGGGGGGTACTGTCAATTTGCTCATGCGTCCGGTTTAATATTCGTTGTGATCCACGACATGACCCCACGTTTGCCTGATACCAGTGTCGGTCACAGCGGGCGCGAGCGCGCGAGCAAGGGGCACGTTTTGGCATTTGCCAAAAACAAGGGAGACACTTTAAGTATGTGCAAGAGACGAAAGTTGTGCAAAGGCCAAGCTGTCAAAATGTGCCGCAGGGCTCGAACAACGACGGATATTGCGTCCCCACACGCAGTTCTCATTCGACGCAAGCCACTTGAGCTTAGAAAAAAAACTAATTAAGAAGCGTTGTTCATCATTACGGTGCAAATCAGTGTTTGTGGCTGGAGTGGTGTTTCACAGGCGCCAACGGCGCCGGCTGCTCTCGCTGCGAAGCAAGCGTTAACAGTTAACTGACATCTATTCAATGATGTTCGGATGTCCTGAGTACGCGGAACTGCGTTGCATTGGCAAAGTGTTCCGAGAACCGCATCGCATAATTAAGACACACGTCAACGTCACGTCGTTGTTGGCGTCTCTACGAGCTCCAAAGGCACCGCCTCTTCGCGCGACGAAAGCAAGCGAGAACCCCCTGTGTCATCTAAGCTCTCGAGGACAAACATTGCTTAAGCAGTGTCTGCTAGTGCAGCACTTTCGAAACAGGTCGTATCTCAAGTACGCGAACCATTACAGCAGCGTGGAGCTATTCATTGAGTCACCTCAAACCAGAATGCTAAGCATGTGGACCGCATCGTGAGTAGATCTCGTCTTCCTCCACCAGATGCTCTTGACACGTTAATCCACAATCCCATGACGTCATGTACAACCTCGCCCGAAAGCATCTCGTACGCTGTTACAGGTGTTACAGGTAAACAGGTGTTTATGACGTCGCCGTTGACCACCGTAGCATTTATGTTATAAAGTGGCCGGAATGCAGACCAGCCAGTATTTCTGGCAACGTTTGTTACCGGATGAGTTAATGGCATTTACATCGGCTGAGTATCTTACCATCATTCTCACGAGCTGCATATGTAAGAGTACACAGCTCGTGAGCATGGCCTCCAAATGTTGCGGCGTAGGTTGAGTATCTTACCATTATTCTCAAGAGCTGCATATAAGAGTATACAGCTCGTGAGCATGGCCTCCAAATGCTGCGGCGTATGTGGTCGTGGACTTTTGCATGGTTATCCTGGTATCAAAGGAGGGATTCTAACGCAAGAAGATTCACTAACAGGAATTTCCGAAGGCAAGGGAAATGAACTAGTCGGGCAACCAGTGATAAATCAAAACCTTGTTGGTTTGGTTTTCTTCTCATATCTACCCAATGTATGCGCGCTATTTTGTATTGTGCTTGGTACAGTGGTTGATCGGGGAAGAGTTATGCCCCGCTGAGGCATGAGCGCTTGCTGTAAATGCAGTAGGCATCTTAGGTATTTTTTCTCTCCTTTTTTTGCTACGCTAAATAATGTGCAACCTCTGTGAATTGCGTATGTTGTGCTGATCATAGAGTCTGCATATCGAGTGACATTATTTTCACCGAGACATTCCTAGCCTGCATTCACTAGTTCCAATGATCAGCCAGTGTGCGCTGTAGTTCCGCGAGCTTAGTTTTGTCAAGAGTATTGAATTAACAACTTAGTTTTTAGTGAAATCTCACATTATTGAATGCATGCAAAGCTGTCCAGGAAATCTTCAATAATGGGGAGTTTAACACGCGCTCGGATGGAATCAATTGGACCCTCCAAAAGCTTCTTCCAAAATAACTTCCGAACGGCGCGGCGTAGCCGCGGCCACACTGTATAGCTGTAGTCAAGTGAATGGCGGATCTTTTGGCCAAAAAAATTGGATCTATCTTGTAGGGTCGGTGACCTTTGGCTGGTCTAAGTGAAACTGTTGCTTTTATCGAGGGCCATTTCTAGGGAATTGTCCAGTCTGATGCGAAAACTGGGTGTTTGACGAAACCGTACATGTGTGCTGGTTCTTAGGCATTGCACTCACTCAATGTAAAATTACAACAAGCTCCGGTGGCCTTGGGGCAGGTATGGAGGTCAGACCGTCGGAGATCAAAACTAGCTTTTTTACTCGAGAGCTTGCCTTTTTGCCTGTTGCGAGGGCAGTTTCTGGTGCTCATTTCCAATTTGTGAACGACAGGGACCGCAACAGACAGGTGCCATGTGCTTTTTTAAACATCAGATTAGCTCACCGACTCAAAAAATGACCCAGGCTTACATTTAGCTTTTGGGAATATATCGTCTAGCGTCATTCATGACACGCATTTGAGTGGCAAAATGACAGCAGTTTCGTAACTTTTTGGTTACCGCGGCCTTCTAAAGGTCAAACAAGGTCACTGATTTAAAATAAAACCATTGACATTTTGCTTAGAATAGGTATTTAGGTTCACGGCGGTTGCATGAGGAGGCGTGGGGCACTTTGGACACTGATCTGGTGTTTGGCCTTGTTTTATTTTATTGGATCTAAGCTCATGACTAAGGAATCTCAAATTTTCACAAAAGCATTCACGTTCAATTCCTGTCCGTTGAATTTGATGCATCTAGTTATCTAAGTGTTCGAGATATCAGGGGGGGTGGGGGTCAAATGTTGAATGCACTTTGCTTCCTACCCGAGCGAAGTGTATTCAACCGGCCACCTGGGCGCGTGTCAACGAGTAACTCATGGTTTTGAATGAGACGGCATTAATAACCTCATTCCTCGAAAGATAACCAAGAGAATGGACAGACTCATGTATGTATATTTCGGCTACACGCCTTTATTGGAACGTATATGTGTTCGTAAGACATCGCGCCGATGGGCTGTTCTTCAAGCATGACAGTTTTTGAGAGAAAAAAACATTGATGATTGGACACTTTTTGGAGAAGCCACTGTCGTGGACTTGCATAGGATGACAGTGCTTAGCGGCAGATCCTAGGCGCTAAGGTGCAAGTGGTGCTCGGAGCTTCTGTGATTGTTGCTGTGTTTGAAGCTCTGTTGTGTGTGTAGTGCTGTAAGGATTGATGCTTCCAAGGATCGAGCAATAAAGCTTACTAAAAAATAGTTTTTAAGTGACACATGCAGAAAGCTGCGGCATGCCTTCATAATTCATTTGTGATCCCCTTTTCCTCAAAGTTGTCTTCCTTTCTCACGTAATAATTCTGCAAAGCTTTGACTTTAATGCGTGCCCGATGGGAGGCTATTGCCAATTCGTGGTAGTTCTACACGGCAGCTGTACAATTCAAAACGTTACAGTCATAGGCTGATCTGCATGTGCTTGGCATTTATTTTGATCGCAAAACTTACGGTTTGGAATCGTAATTCACCGCTTGGACCATAGGAAATAGAACTCCAGGACTTTCTTGACTAGCGTAATCCCTTAAGCATGCTGGCTGTCGGTTGTGTGATTCACACTTAAACAGCGGTGAAATATTGCACTTGGAACGGTCGGACCCAGTACCGCGCTCTCTAGAAGGCTCTGCAGCCACCGATTACACTCCCGTGCAGTTTCCCGCAACAGCAATGACAATTATTTCGGATGTATATTTGCGATCAGTACTCCGCTACTGCGGTGACGCTGTCTACCTGTGTTTGGCCTGGTCATAGGGCGGAGCGGATGAAGGCGGGGAGGGGACCGCTCACGGGCCTGCACCGCGCCCTTTGCAGGGCCGCCTGTCTGCCTGTCGCGACAGTGACGCGGTCGCGCCTGGCATTTTCCGGCGGCTAGGCGTGACGTCCGAACGGGGTCGTGACGCGCCGCGCGGCCGGCCGTGCCGGTCGCACGCACGTAGCGGCGGCGGCGGCGGCGCCGCGGGGTCAGGCGGCAGCGGGTCAGACGGCCGGCCGGCGTCGCCAGTTGGGCCGGGGCCGCCGCCGCGCGCGCACCGCCAGTCAGCGCCCGCTGAGTGATCCCGGCGAAAGTGAGAGCGCCGCCGCACGACCGGCCGCGCCGCCAGATCGCGGCCACTTTCACGTGTTGCGCGACCTTGTGCCGACTGCTGCCGGCGCCGCCCGGCCGTCAGCTGTGCGCGGCCTGCCGCGCCGGGCGGCCGCGGCCCGGGGCCGAGCGCAGCGCGTGGACCGCGACTGGTCACGCTCCGCGCCGACCGCTGTGAAACGCTCCGGTCGCCAGGGCCGCGCCGCTGCCGGCGCCGACCCCGTCCTGGCTCGGAGCCCGGCCATGGCTGCCTGATATGATGACCAAGGTGCCGCCGCGCCCGCGCCATGCCTCCATTATCCGACCTGTCCAGTTTCTGCTGCCTACTCGGGTAACTACAACGCCGGGCGCCCGGTCACGCAGCGATATGATTAGCAAATCCAGTTAAGCGCGGAGCTTACTGATTGACTAAGACTCTTGCAATTTGCGTTTGTAATCACTGTTAACGTGAGTGTGTTACGGCGAGGGCGGGCCATGTACACGTGTTGGTGGCTGTGTATGTGTTGCTATGTGGTCCACGTTTACTGTATTATTTATAGTTTGCCGATAATCGCTCGGGACTTGAGGTTAATTTTTTATGGAAATTTGACGTCACCTGTGAACAGGGGCGTGGCCTGTCACTGTGACCAGTGACTGTCCATGCCCGCCGCCGGTTGCCGACTCACAGCCGCATGACCGAGCGCAGCGTAGTGGACCACTCTCACTCTCGGCCGCGTCCCGGCGGCGGCGGCGGCGGCACCAGCAGCTGCGGCGACCGATAGACGCGCCGAGCGCTGATACGGGCCGCGTTGTCCGGGTATCCGCCGCGCCGGGCTGCACGTCCCGCCATATGGTGCCGGGCCGCGCCCCGCCGCGGCGCCGGGCGGGTCGGCCTGCTGTGTCACGCCCGGTGGGGGACGGCCCTCCCGGGGCGGTTCTGCGAGGACTGGGTCACCGGCTGCAGGCGCCGGCGGTGGGAAGGCCGGAAGGCGTCGGGGTCGGGGAACTCCGCCCGGCTCGCAGCTGCTCAGTTGCCGGACCGAACGGGTGCCCGCTGGCCGATTCCGCCGCTGTTGGAAAGGTCGGGAGGCGCCAGGACCGGGCGAACACCTCCTGGCTCGCAGCTTCTCAGCTGTCGAACCGAACGGTGCACGGTGGCCTGCTCCGCCGCCACCGTTGTCCGCGATGCACGGCCGCGGAGTGACGAAAGCGCCGGCTTTCGCCCCGGCCAGTGCACCGGCTGACGGCTCGTGATAGTTACTGCGACTATGGCCGCCCGCCAGCCGCCGGGCGGGGCTGCTGGGGTGTGCGTGTGTGTGCGCGAGGAGGGGCGGGGGGGGGGGGAGGCGCTTCAGCTGCCGGTCATGACTGGGCTGGTAGCCGGGTAGCCGGTTGGTCGGGTCGAATGGCGCCGGCGGCTGTCATCTCAGCTGTGGCGCCGTGGCCACAGACCTGCAGTCGGGCGGCTGGCCCTGCTCATTGGTACAGACAGACTGTGTAGTCTGAACTGGGAGCGCAGCGCGTCGTCTCACGTCTGTGGGGTGATCTGCAGACTGGGCAGGATCGTGGCGAACCAATTGGAGGAAACATATAATGCATCGAAGGGTTGTGTCGCCTCGTGAGTTCCCTTCCTCGTACGCTCCCGCCGCCTGTATCCGGCTGTGGGCCTCTGTCGCCAGCCAGGCGGGGGCATGCCTGCCTCGAACGGGGTCGGCGAACGCCTGGTTCAGCCGCGTGGGTGCCGACCATTTCGGCATGCTCTGCCTCAAATCGATACTTCCCGTTCGGTGGTGAGTACAAGGCTTCCAATGTTGTTCATCCAACGTCCGACCTGTCGTGGGTTGCGGCTGCCGTTGCTGGCCTTCCTGGGTTGCGGTTGCGGGCCTTCCTGCTGAGACATTCGTCGGTGATTGGCAATGTCTTTGCATTGTCGTGACTAGAGAGCACCGCGTACTTGGCCATTTAGACGTCTGATGCGCTGAGCTTTATCGCCGCTGCAGTTTTGTCTCGCTGGGAGCTATAATGTCGATCCCCAGCTGACGAATGGGGAAGATTCGTTGTGGAGGTTGGACTGAAGTGGTAGCAAATTCGGAACTTGGTTCAACAAAAGAAACTCTTCCGTCCTATCTCCCTCGGGTGGAGCGTGCTGCCAAATACCAAATCGACAGAATACCAAGCCACTGTTGGAGGCTGTTGACGTCATTTATCAAGCTGAGATTTGAATAATGTCAAGGGTCCTGTTGTGTTTTCGCGGTGAAAATGAAGTGTGAAAAAAACAAAAATGCCCGCACCAATTGATGATTATACCACGGCGCTCTGTGTGGTTTAGCCGCAACTTGGATTTCGGTCATAGAGCCCCAGCGACCTGATAGCCGCCCGACCGGAAGTACGTCACGTTTTGCCCAAATAGCGTGGATGTATCTTCCACTTCTGTCGACAAAAAAAAGAGAAGAAAATTTGACGTGTGGCGTGCGGATTTTTACAAACCCGTACTTACTATAGCGTTTGCGACAACTTCGCTCGCTGATGGACGGCAGCTGTGATGGCTCTACAAATGCTGGTGCTGGCGTAACTCTCATGACGAAGACATCAGCGGCTGTGATAGCGCTACAAACGCTGGTGGCGGCCTTGCCCCCATGACTAAGGCAACAGCAGCAGCTGTAAAGGCACTACAAACGTTGGTGCCGGCCTTACTCTCATGACTGAGGCAACAGCAGCAGCTGTGATGGCACTACAAACGTTGGTGCCGGCCTTACTCTCATGACCAAGGCAACAGCAGCAGCTATAATGCCACTACAAACATTGGCGCCGGCCTTTCTCTCATGGCTGAGGCAACAGTAGTGTAAGCCATGGCCGAACCAGTGAAGCCTCGCGCGATGCGCTTCGGCACTGGGTCCTGCGCGTCTCCTACCGCACTGGTATGGCTTCGATCAGTCGAGGGCTCCTCGGCGGGCGCTTCGCCTGCGGTTGCTCCTGGTCGCTTGGGTTTTGCAGACCCGTGGCGTTCCAGTGACGTGGCAGGAGGAATGTTACAGCCGAGGCCGCCGTTATGCCGGGCTGCCCAGTCGACAACAGCCTCTGATCGGCACGTCCAGGCTGGCGGAACGCATGCTGGACACCATTTTGTCGTGTGGGTACAGCAAAAACTGGTGCCGGTCGACGCGTGGCCGGCCGTGGATATGTGGAGGGAGGTAATGTGGAGGCCTCGTTCCCGGTCCGTCTCCCCGACTTCGTTTGGTCAGTCTGGTCCGCCTGGCTTCGTCCGACTTTGTCTGGCTCTGTCTGGTCAATCAATCAATCGTCTGGCTCCGTGTGGTCAGTCTGGTCCGGCTGGCTCCTCTTTTTCTGTCTTTCTGAACTGGTCTAGTGGGAGTCATAAACTTTTGGTTTTGTGATATGAGATCGGTGAAATTGTATTGAGTTGCACGTTTTCACCCCTCAGATGCGTTTCTTAAGATGAAACGTTATGTTTAGTAAGCAGACAACTACTTTCAAGTAAATTAATAGCAAAATTCTGTATTGCAGTCCTTCCTCGCAAAGAAGAAAATGAAACTCCTTTCGTTCAAAACCTGTCTTTAAAAACCACTTGAAAGTATAGTGATCATATCTTGGCCGCTTGCAAGGAAAATCAGCGCACTAGGTTCTTGGCCGAGGTGTGGTGATTATTGTTTGCATTTACGGCAGCTTGCCCACTTTATTGGCTTTGCTTGCTGCCGCTGCCGCTGGATTTTGAAGTGATTTGCAGACAGAATGCACTATAGTTCCTTTGAGAGCCCTTATTCGACAATGAGTCGACACTTCCCGAGACCCCGAGGAGGGGAAGGAGAGGAGAGAGATCTCTCCGCGCACAGCCCCTGGGTTCCCGGGAGCCGCCTAGGAGCACTGGCGGGTCGATCAGGCTGTGTGTGTGTCGAGGTGGCTGTCATGCCCTGAAGTCAGGACGGCCACGCTGCCGTGGAATGCCCGATGAATCTGTCACTTGGAGCGCCGTCTCAACGGGATGTCCAGCCAGTCTGTCGACTGGAGCCCCGTCTCAGCGAGATGCCCGACCAGCGTACCCACCGGACATCCGCCTCGGCGACATGCCGGATCCGTCTGTCGACCCGAGCTTGTATCAGGGGAATGACCGACCTGTAACCAGTTTTGTAAAGAGAAGTAACTGCACATTTTTGACCGGCTAAAGTACTTTCAGCTAAAATGCAGACGTGCCATAATTTCCGATGCTGTTCCGCTACTTGCAGAAGTAAACAAAGCTGTTTGGTTCTTGTGTTCATACTGTGAGCTTCCCTGTACTTCGCGTGGAGGCAATACGCGCCTCAACAACAAAGACCCCCTGAAATAGCTGACTTTACGCTTACCCAAGGTTGCGCGTTTTGTGCACTTATATCATGTGTGTTCGCGTCATAGCAAGACAGAAAAACACCTCGTGAACCTCGCGACTTGTGGAAAAGACGTAGGTTTTCATCCCAGCCTGCCAGCTTTATTCACCACACTTCTTAGCATATGTTTGTGGCGCCTACAACGTTACAGTACGAACTGCAGTTGAATTGATTTCTCTCACATACGTACACGTCCACCCTTTCTTTAAAGTTCACCCAGTATGGGGACACTACTTCATTGCTCAACAATTTCTCACTGCACGTTATCTGTCGGTCTAAACGGCCTGCTCCTCCGCTCCTGCTTGTCGTCATGCGCCGAGTCTTGTATGATCATCACGGTTTATTTTACGACCAGCGCATCTTAAAATTTACTTCAGTTTCGGATTTAATGTCTTCGCCACGGCCAAGTCATCTACGTTTATGAAACCCGATGGATGTTCGGTGAAGTACGGAGTGACTCTTTACTTCAGATTTTCCTGCCAATAGTCAAATTTATGTGCGTAAGAGTACGTAGTTGCTCCGTGCTTTATGCGACCGGATTCAAAGTGAAAGCTGGATAAGTCGCTCGTTACACAACCAAAACTTACGACATTTTCTTTATGAAACTGGTTACAGTTCGTCGATCGGGGGCCAGTCTCAGACTTCTTATTTCGTGAGCGCAGCATGGCTGTAGATTTGAGTCATTTTGTCGTTAGCAACACGACCAGGGGTGGTATGCTGCTGTTTCGGTACGTGTGATGGATGTTGCGTTTGCTCCAAATGTTGGCGGATTTCAGCATGCTTAGATTGGCGACGCCTTGAGTGGCGGCTGAGTATATTGGGCCGGCCAGCGGTGACGTCTGGATCATACTGCTTACCCTGTTCTAGAAGGGCCCGCCGTGTGCCGGGCGTCGGCAGGGGGCGATCGATGGGTAGCTGCTGCACGGTGTATAAGTCAATGGCACTACGAGCTGGGATTCAGGCACCGTATCCCTTCTCTCTTGGGTACAACTGTGCCGATTCTGGCTGCCCCGTCCGATTGCATGGTTGCGTCCTGCATGATCCACTACGCACGTCGCCGTTACGTGACTGCGGTAGCTGTCAGCCGAGTCAGTTATTTATTCATGTCCGGTCTGTGTGTGTGTGCCGGTGAGCAGGGCCGCTCCCGTCTCCGGAGCAGGTTTTACACTCGGAACGTACGAACCTGCGGCAGTGGAGGTAGCAACACTTGCGGTGCCGGTGGCGCCTCGTATTTCACGGCTGAGGAGGCGACCACAGGCTCAGGTCGTGCTGCAACCGAGAACATGCACAGTCGTCCAGTTAGTCGTAAAGAAAACGCCAGTGAACGAGGGTGGGCGAAGGCTTACAGAGGCGGGTTTCAAATGGCGTCAGCCACCTGGTTACACAAAGCACAGATGCTTTGTCGGCATTGTATGGTTCGCTCGAGCCTCGGCCCATGGTCTGCCTCTCCCGGTCGTGGGAGACGGCTGGTCGGCAGGGTCACCGCGCTGGGGCTCGGCCGTTGCCAGGTGCTTCGCTCGGTGTCGAAGTCCAGTTAGCTGCGCGATGCTCTGTTTCAGCCGCCCCCTGGCTCGGTGTCCGGGAGCCCTTGGGCAGACCGGTTTTACTCGCCTGGGCTGGGCTGTTTGTGGCCTTGTTCCAAGGATACTGGGAGACGCGGAAGGTGAGACGTCTTGCCGCCACTAGCCACAGCCCGTCAGCAGCGGACTGGACGCCATTTTGCCGGGGTTGTCGCGATCCAGCGGTTGCGCCGACGCAGTCGAGCAGCGGTGGCGACGGAATGCAAAGGATGTTTTCAGAGCTAAAAAAAATCGTCGGCCACTGACCACGGATTGGAACAGACGCGGCCCGATGCGGATATCCAGTCTCAGGCCCTCAAGCTGTGGAGCTGCTGGCGATCCGCGGGCGGGTCACAGCTGCCCAAAGTCACTCAGCAAATACTCAAGTGGCTCCCGGGTAGATGTCAGCCGGTTTCATACACCCTTACCTGCGCCGTCGGGTTTGAATGTAACAATTTGTGGTTCGGGTTACGACGGGAATTTCATGGCTACTCCCGCACGGAGATCCAGCGCTGAGGTAGCACTTTGAGGCCGCTAAAGGCGCCCAAAGATTCATCGATGGCGTTTCCTCGTCACGGCAGCTGCATGTTCTGCGACATCCGATTCGGGCAGCGTTGAAGGTATTGTATCCCCGAAGCGGGAATAAACCAGCGAGTTATATCAGCGAAGCGCGTTGATATGGGGACTTCGTAAAATAGCCTGAAGACCGTTCACCATAACTTTCATTTCACGAAAGCAATCACGCTACCAAATTGCGGTTATGATCTGGACCGATCCAGGTATGTTAAGTATGCGCTCTGATATTTTAGTATCCTTGGCTTTTAACGTTTCAACCGTTACGACGTTATTAATTTCCAGATGACTTCAGGGTCAGTCTCCCTTGGTTTCGGCTTGAGCCGTCTTTTTTGTGCCCGCAGACCCGCAAAGCAAAGTTAGAAAAACCGTAGGTTTTTGCGGATACTTCTGGCAAACTGGCGGGTTTCTGCGGGCCTCCAGACCACGACAAACGATATTGTTTATGTGCTCATAAATAACATTCGCCCATGTCTTCTCAAACTTCACACCAGAGGGGTCAGTGGGACCTAAACGCATTTGGGTCGCGTTGCAGAAATCCATTAATTGTCTAAAAATATGATAGCATGCCACCAATAAAGATCAAAGTGGGTCAGCAGCCTATGATGGCCTGAAATTGTCATTTATAAAGAATGTGGGGGAGTGTTGTGTTGGAATGACAAACAGACAAAAGCTTTGCTATGTTATAACGGTTAACATTCAGTTGATACATTGGCTCACGTCTCGTCCAGATAGAAGCGAGCTAAACGCCTGGCATCACATGGACCTAACGATACTCAGCCTTAACCTAAACCTAACCCCACATTCAGGGCACGTTGAAAGCAATAGAAAAGCCCAAGTGTCGGGCCGTGAATGCGGCCCAGATGCCGCCAGTGGCCGCGGCCGCCATCCCAGCTGTGCTCGGCTGTCGGCTGCACCTGTGGGGCCGACTGTCGGGCGCTGCCGCCAGTGCCGTTGCCGTCGTCGTCGCCATGCTGTCCCGGGTCCGCATCGCGCGTCGCAGAGAGGTTCGGCGAGCGGGGTTTGCCGTGGCTGGCCGGCGGTCGCCGGCGGTGGTGTGGCCGGCCGGGCGGCGATGGCCGGTCTGACCACCGCGTCCCTGCTCCCGCGGCTACAGCCGGGAGGTGGGCTGGTGTCGTGCGCTGGGGACGGTATGTGACCTGCTCGGGGCGCGGGCGGCGGTGCGGCCTGTCGCCGGGTGTCCTGCCATGGTGTAAGTCGTGGCGACGCCAGTGAGCGAGCAGCATGGTGGTTCGGCTCTGATCTGGGTAGCTCCGGCTTTATCTGGAGGGGCTTGACGTCAGAGACGTGCACGTTTCGTGCTAATGCAAGCATGGGGTGTTATGTGTGTGTGTGTGTGGGTGGGTGTCTGTGTGCCGGGGCGTTGGAAACAGACGGCTCTCCGCTCACGGCGTCAGCGGCCGTCCCGCATGTGGTGTGGCGCCGCCCGGCCAGCGCCGCCCGGCCAGCCGCCTAGTCAACGCCGCCTGGCCAGCGCCACCCGGCCAGCGGCGCCTAGTCAACGCCGCCCGGCCAGCGCCGCCGGCCGGCTAGTCACGCCAGCCCAGCGCGCCGCAGCGCCGCCCGGCCAGCGGCGCGTAGTCAGCGCCGCCAGCCCAGCGCCGCCCGGCCAGCGGCGCCCGGCCACGCTTTGTGGTCCCAGCGGAGCGGAGGCCGGTCCGGTGCCCTTGTGCGGTCACGTACGCGCCACACTTCGGCGCCACTCGCATGGTGTGTTGTCATAGCGATGCGGCGTACGTGTATCGTTGACACAACCGTACACAGGCCATTGGGCGAGTTGACAGGATCAAATCAAAAGAAGTTGCCTTTGGGCGTGGGACAGAATAGTAGACCGAACAGTTACGTATGATCCTTGGACAGGGAACGGAAGCCCCCGCCGTATGTTAATGGTTGTTTTGTGCGTGCCATTGGTAGTGGTTCACATTTAGAGTTGTCTTTGACATCAGGGTACCACATAAACAAAGCGGAATGGCTCCTGCCGTCTTCAAATGTTATGTTCTGGGTTTGGGTATCAGTGACACCCGACTTGCGCTCAGGAGTTCCAGCTGCCGAATCGCTGAATTTAAGTCTAATCGCGTGCGTATATTCCTTTTCGGCTCGATACAACAGCTGAGCAGCCTTTGTACGGCGGCATGTAACCACTGTACGGTGGCCCGTAACCACTGCAGCCACTGTACCGCGGCCTGTAGCCACTACAGCCACTGTACGGCGGCTTGTAGCCACTGCAACCAATGTACGGCCCGTAGCCACCGCAGCCACTGTACGGCGGCCTGTAGCCACTGGAGCCACTGTACGGCGGCCTGTAACCACTGCAGCCACTGTACGGCGACCTGTAGCCACTACAGTCTCCGTGTGGCGGCCTGTAAACATTGAAGCCACAGTTTGGCGGCCTGTCGTCGCGGCGTCTGCCATCGCCCATCGAAGTACTCTGGTCATGCTGACGGCCGACCAGCTCTTTCGTAGGATCATACGGCTGTGCTGAATGCGTGGCTCTTCGCTCGGTGCTTAAGATGTATGACATGCCCCGAAACGCAGGCTGCTTTCTGAAATTTGCGTTTTGACCTACACTGTGCCAGAATATCTATCTTTTTGTGCTATCCTCTCTTCTTCCTGGATTCAAACCGAAATAAATCGTCTTGCCGACGCAATATGCGTCGGTGGGTCGGCTTATCCCCTTGCGAACGGAATCCGTCTTGTGTGGTGCAGTCAGAGCTTGCAGGGCTCGTCAGGGGCCCTCGCCGACATCACGTGCTCGCGACAGGCCGCTGAACGCTAGCATGTGGCATTGCACTGGAGGCCCGGTCCCCGGCCGCCAGCGTTGTAACGTGTCTGACGATGGTGATGTGGGACACATAGACTCCGCCATATGGCTGGGGTGGGTTTCAGCTGGTCGAGCTGGTCGCCACTAGGAGCATGGCGGTTGCGTGCCGCTGACGCGAACGCTGTCATCGC